ATGTGACATCCCGTCCCGAAATTATCTAAAACGTGCATGTGAAATGACATTTTTACCCCTAGTTTGTTTACGTTATGTTATGGGTTGTTTGGTGTGGTGTTGGCAAGTGTTGGGCCACAAACACACACACTGTCACTTTCCCTCTCCCTCTGACTCTTTTTCCTATCTCTCTCTCTTTCCCCCGAGTCCTCATTCCTTCTTCTTCTTTCTTCGAATGTACGGACAAACCCAAAACCCCTCAAACCCTAGCAGATCGAGGACACCAAGGGCACAGTCGAGATCATGAGGTCGAGGGGAGCACGATCGTACCAGTTTCAGGTAGGAACTTCGACGTTTTCACGTCAATTTCACAAGGTCCGTTTTAGTTACTATTCATGCAAGAATAACTTAGCTCGTTTTTGGGATTTTGAAGCTTGTAGTTGTGTTTGTGAGGTCCCAAGGAGCCTCGGAGTGCATCGTTGGACGGAAGTGGACATCAGAATAGCCTGGTTCGAGCTTGGTCGGTTATGGAGTTTTTGGACAGGTATAATCTAGTAGTTTTAGACCTTAAAACTTGTTTGGACGTGTTCTACTAGTTCTAAGGTTTAATTTGGTGCAAGAAACGTGAAAAACGGTGGAAAAATGAGCGAGAAAACCCAAGTTGCAGATTTTCCCAGTTTCCGGCGCCGGCGACGTCGCCGGAGATTGAACGGAGAAGGTGACGGAATATTCCGTCAATTCTGACGGAATATTCCTGACACCGTTAATGGAATCTGTCAACTTCGACGGAATATTCCTGACGCCGTCAGTTGACGCCGTCAGCATGCCAGGCACGTGCCTGCGCGTGTGGCCGTGCCTTGGCCGACGCGTGCGGCGGTGAAAAATTTTTCTAAAAATTCTGGTGTGTTCCTGAGGTTGTGTAGAGCACGTTGGTATATTCAATTGTCCATTTTGAGCAATGTATGAGAAGTTATTTTGAACGGAAGGTTATGTGCTTTAAAATTAACGTTTTTATAGTATTTTCGCATATAGGTGACACGTATCCCGAGGACGAGCGTGCTCAAGCGAGGCAGGGGGGCTACGACCCTTCCACGTATCAGTGAGTGGGCTTTTGTTTTCCGTATATACCTATATACTTATAATTCCCAGAAATTTTATATAAATGCTTATCTGTTATATGTCATTCCTTTTATATCATTGGTGGTTATGCATGATTAGTTACATATACGTTATTTATACATTCAATTATATGTATATATATGTATATATGATGGTGCTGTGGAGGCACAGGTAAGTGCCAGGTAAGCGTTATTTAACAATCGCATTAAATAGTGGTTAGAGATGATTAGAGAGCTCATAACCTGCACCCCCGGTGTTAGTGCTCCCGCCCAGAGTAGGGCACAGTCCCTCACGTGTCGTTCACCTCCCGCACCACACACTCAGCTTGGATCCAAGTTAGGTGCACAGTCTTGTCGTACAGACCACTGTAGGTGGTTCCGACTCGTAGGTGACCCGCGATTATTCGCACAGCCTTCACGTGATCGTAGCACTAGAACGTTTATATGTATTACACCCAGGCCTGTCGTACAGACCACTATAGGTGGTTCCGACTCGTGGGCAGGTTTAGTTATTGAGATTGAGATGTGAGCTCTAGGTGCAGCCGTACATGTCACGTTAGGTGACTCCGGCTGCCAGATTGTACGTTATTGATGTGATTTATACCTGAGCACGTGCATTTCATTCTGAGGTTCCGACATGGCATATTATGGAGCATGATTGGCATATCTATATATATACGTGCATATGTTTATTTTCTGGGAAGTATATAGGTTTTACGGCGAGGGGTTAGAATATTGTTTTTGAAATGGTTTTTGGAAACCTTTATTTTTGCCCACTCACGCTTTTGTTTTGCGCCCCTCCAGGTTCTAGTTGCTTAGCAGGTTCGGTGGTTTCCTAGAGGGCTTCCCGGCGCTTCTGACAGACACGCACCAATGTAGGGTCACTTCGGGTGCACTGTTGTCGGTTTATTTTAAATTTGGACTGCTGTAGACTTATTGCTCTGAACTTAGTGTCTCACTCGCACTAGCACTCCTTACTTTGACCTTATGTATGCTAGTTTTTAATTATTTGTACTTTTATATTACTATTCTATAAGCTTCCGCACTATGCACATGGCTACGTCACCTTCGCGTGACGGCCAGCACACCCTGATTTAGGTCGGGGTGTGTCAATGAAAATATGAGGAACAAACATATAATGTGTGTTCATTTAATTATTCAACAAACCTCTTACAATTTATTGAAAAAAATAATATGGAAAATAAAATTTATCTATTTTCTGTCTACGTGAGTTGCAACCTAGGTGGGTTTGGGCGGTCTAGGCGGGCACCTTAATAGGTTTACGTGCCCTTTCTTAATTTTCAAATGCCTAGGCATTAATTGAGGCGGTAGCCAGCCACTTAGCGCCTAGACGAGGCCTAGGTGGCGCTAGGGGATTTTTAGAACGGTGATTAATCATAAACTTATATATCAAAAAATGATAAAAATAATAGTATATAATATATCACAATTAATTAGATATATTTGCCAGCATATTCAAAATATCAAGAAAGAACAATAGATTGCATATACAAAAATGTTCGAAAATATCCAAAAACTTATAAAATATATAAATTTTCTAATTATGTTTCAAACATTTCGAGATTACTCTGATACGAAATCCAAACTAATCTAAAAATTCGAAATATAACTTTTTTTTATTAAATCTAAAACTTTTGAAATGAAAATTAGAAACTTTATTTTCGATCAATGTGTCTGAAAATCACTCATACTAATGATGGATTTAAAATTAAAAATCATATTGAACTTAGAGTACGTTTAGGCAAGGAACTTCCAAATTTCTCACCTAAACATACCCTACAAGTGAAAGTGGTATAAGAGTTTATTAGGTGGTACAACTTGCACCAAAAAATATAGATTGCTACACACACACACACACACATATATATATATATACCAAAAAATATAGATTGCTACACACACACACACACACACACACACATATATATATATATATATATCTTTATTTTCATTTTTGGAAATGAAGACAGAATTCTACATATATGAACAATGTTTTTATTAACACCCCACAATTTTATGAAAACACCCTACACTTTAAATTTTTTCACATGAATTTTCTCTTTTAATTAAAACACCCCACCATCTTATGAGAACAACGACATCCTCCACTATTCCACTGCAGAAAATCTAGGGCAAAAAACCAACCTCTCACCATAGCACCATATCCTCTCTCTCTCTCTACAATCCCAACGAATTGCAAGTACTTCTTTTACCCTATTTGGAATTTTGGATGGTTGGTGAAGTTTGGCAATAGGAAATTTGGAGACGGGGTGGGCGAGTTTGAGTGTTGGACGATAGATTTTCGCAACGGAGGTGATGGGGTTGAAGGGTTATCCAGTTGGATGAGTTGAGGTGATGGGTTGTTACCAACTGCATGAGAGTTGTCAGTCGTGCGATGTCAACGACGGAGTTATTCAGAGGTAGTGGCTGTATAATTGGGGTTGTTTGCTATTGACTTCTGTACGAGAGTGGTATTTAGAAAAATGAGGGACAAAGTTGAAATTTTAGAGAATATTTTGGATATGGAGTGTTTTCATAAAAATATGGAGTGTCAATAAAACAACCCTTTTTATATATACAAGGCATAGCCATTTTCAAACCCGTTCAATCACGCATCCTCCAAGTCCAATTTGCTTCTGCAAGGTGTGTACAGTGTGCAGTCTTCCCCAGCCCAGGCATGACTCTAAAGATTTCTAATTCCATATATTCACTGAAGAGTGCAGACCCACCCCTATGAGGACAGACTCTCACTAACCATTTTAGTGAAAACCTTGTTTCCACTGTCTTAATGCAGCATCAGTACACTTAATGCCCAGCTCAAGGACAACGTCAGATGGAGTCCCACACCAATCAATGTATTCAGATTTACGGGATTTTCTACGCAGTATGAGATATTCTGTGTCTTTTAAGTTTCTAATCGTCAAATTTTCGCTAAATACAAAAGTCAAAATTTAATAAGCTGTTTGGATGAGGAAATTATTCTTTTATTTTCTAGAATTTAAGAATTTTATTATTTAGTTAACTAAAACAAAAATGAAATTTAAGTATAGAATTTGTTATTTTTAAACTCTCACTCATAGAAATTTGTAAATAAAATCTATTTACATGGAATTTAAATTTGGGAATTGAAAGTTTCAAATTCTAAGTTTTTTTTTTTCCACACAAAAATTCTATATTTCTGTGTTTATGAATCCAACTAAGGGAAATTCTGCACATCAATTTATATAAATTCTGACTTTTGTCAAAATTCCAAATTATTTTCCTCATCCAAACACATTGTAAGGTTAAAACACCAAAGAGTATCCCATATTCTGGAACACCCTAAAATTTTTGTAAGTTCACTCTCTAAGGCCATGTTTGGCATTTTAGTTGCATCAATTTTTTTTTATTTTTTTTATAATTGATGAATGAATCTAAATTACTTAATACTTATTTGTTTCAAAAACAAAAAAAATGGATTCAAGAAAGATACCAAATGATCCCTAAATCTCTTGAAATATTTCAACACAGATCCTAATCGTTAAATTAAACAATGTATGTCATGCATTAATGTAATCTAGAATTTTAGAGTAGGATAATCACCCACTAAAGTTTAGGCCGCTAAGTTATTTTTCCCCTCATTGATAGAAAGAGAAACTAGAGCCCGATTGCAATACACCACTCTTCAAAAGGAATGCAATATCATAATAATATTCTTAAACTAATACAAACAACTTCGCAGAGTTATTTCTGCATACTATTTTTCACCTCCTTCGCACCTCTCCATTATGGGCCCCTCTCCAATAAAGGCCTTGATTTTCCTTCAATTTATTCGATTGTATAGCTAAAATAAGACGAGCATGTTGGAGGAAAAAAAGTTGCGCAAAAATTAACTCCCACAACTTAAAACAAGCTAAAGCATTATTTTTATTAAATTTCAAGATTCCGAAGTCATGCAAGTAAGGTAAGATCTAAACCCACAGAGATATTATACAACAAGGCTAACCAATTCCATAACCTAGCTCACCATCCATGTCTATCCCATTGAATTCTTGTTCCGCCTTACCCAAGTTTTTTTTGGCTACCGCAAGATCAACCTTTGTAACAGCTACTGCTGCCCTCCGCCTTTTAAGTTCATCCTCCAAAACGTCTACGTCTTCTCTCAGCCTTTTCAGTCTCCCCGTTCTTTGTAGAAACTTGTTCATACCAAATGCGGTATGAACATGTGGCTCCAGCCATGCTAAGTCAAATCTAAAGGCTTCGAGCTCCTCCCAGAAAAGTTGAAGGCGGTCACAAGCATCCCGTGTCATATCCTTAACCTTTGTTGTCTTTAGAAAATGCAGCACACGACCCAAAGCTGTGAATGCGCATTCAACAAACATCGGAGTTCTTTTGAGCATACAGTCAATCAAGGAAGGATTCGATGAGCAGACTTCTTCTAGCCATGGAACAAAAGCTCTCTCTATTCGTCCTAAACCCCTAAAATCCATAAGGTCGCCCGTTGGGGTGGTGGGGACTTCCCTGAGTACCTTGGCTAAGGAAGGGTCAGAAGGGCTATCATCAGTAGCCTCAGTGCAAGCTTGTTGAAAACCTGGTGTGTTTTGGAGTTCAGAATTCCTCGGTGATTCCTGCCCCTTAAGTTCTTTCTTTGATGACTCCATAGTTGCGGAAACATTAGTTTCTTGGCTGCCAATTTTAACTGGGACATTGATCTTGGCTTGAACAATGCAAATATCATTTACTAGAAAACCTGCACCGGAGTTATAGAGTTCCCGAAGAGGCATGAATGATTTGAAGCCAAACTTACTCTTGTCTTCTTTGAACTCTTTTAGATTGCCTGTGAAGAAAACATCAAGGATCACAAGTGAAGACAATAATTGGTGGTCAAAAAGTTGCTAACTGTTTTAGAACTTCCAGACTGCAATAGTTTTCAGTAGCATATCACAAAGTGCCTTCAATCAGCAAATAGAAGTCCATGAAGCAAATGATAGTCTAACAGAAGAATCTAAGAATTTAGCTGTGACATTTTCTTGTATTCCAGTATGTAGAAGAAATGAAAGATAAGGAAAACAGGAAATAATGTAATTTCCCTTGAGAATCTAAGAATTTTGCTTAATATTTTCCTTGAAAGGTAGCATGAATAATTATGAACAAAAATGAAAAGACAACAGTTGAGAACACAAACATAAATGCGAAATAAAAAAAAAACAAAACATTAAAGAAAGTACCGTTTGTAGACTTGGTTATTGACATGGTGCTGTCATGTTGATTAACCAGAGTCAAGCAAAAATTTGCACATCTAGTCCATCCGGGTGGCAATGTTGAAGTATCTTCAACACGCAAATACATGGATAACTGGTCTTCGAGTTCAGGATTTGCATCGTATATCCATGTTGGACGTATAAGGATCCTCCTGATCAAACAAACCAAGGCTGGTAAAAGAAACTAAAAACATATATGATACGGCAGAATGTTAAAATCATGGGATATCTTTGGCCTTGTGGGCTACTAAGCTGGTGAAGGGTCTTGAAGCTTGAAGATGGTTCAGATTTTAATTTTACTCTAAAATTAGATTAAAAATTAGAAATTGGTCCCTCATTTTTAACACTAGTTTAGATTTGGTTCATGAACAAAAATTCTGTTATTTAAGATTCTTGGACTTACAAAACATGTAATGTTGGTCTTCAAAGAGATTTTCCGTCTATTTGATTACATGGTTTAGATTTGGTCCTTAAACTTTCACCCTAGTTTAGACTAACATAAAATTTTACTGAAGTTAGTGGAAGGGATCAATCATTCATGTTTTGTTATATTTAGGAACCTCAATTAACATATTTTTAGCTCATCGACCATATCTCAACTAGGGTAAAAGACTGAAAGTTCATGGACCAACTCTAAACTTTACTCTTAATTTTAATCTGCACCCCTTTTTTGAATAAAATTTGGAGATTTGTTGCTCAATCAGCCCGTTTCAACTGTCAAGGCTCCCAGTGTAAGAAATCTATGGCAAATGAATAAAAAATCTACTATTATTTATGTGTTTTGGTGATGATGAAAACCAGTAAATTCGTAAAATAATAAAAATAAAAATAACCTTTTACCACTTGAACCCCATCATTAATTTGGTATTCCAAAAATGGGAAAGAAATGCATAAACCATTTCCTTATTGGTACCCAAGAAAATGAAAGTTTCAAGATGCCATGACTTCAATGGCCTCACAATAATAAACTGTTCACAAAAAGAAAATGGCCTCATAAATAAATTAAAAAAATTGAACAAAAGAAATCATCTTGGAGCAAAATCTGCAGTCAGTTTGCATAATAATTAAGCAATATATATATATATATAGGGTTAATTTATAGGAGATGGTGAGAAGAAATAGGTACCATTTGATATCACCGACGATGAAAACGTCAGAGGAATGCTCGTCGCTTTTGAGCTTGGACAAGTTGGGAATTTTCCATGTATAGGTATCACAGACAACATCTCCTTCCTCATTTCTCATTCTACCAACAAGAAAACAAACCCATATAAATCATACCAAACCAACCACAAATATCAGTCACACCAAACGAACCACAGATTGTTAGAGAGACGTACCTTCCCATCCACGGTTCCCTTACCTTCTCGGCTCTGATCAGGAGAGAGAGAGAGAAGAGAGAGAGAGAGAGACAGAGTGAGTGATTAAAAGAGAGAGGGGAGTACTACCAATCAGTTGGGGAAGTACAAAGTCTTCAGAGTGCAGACAACTAAAACCTCAATTATTTATTCAATAATCCTAGGAGGCTAAGAAGTGTGCACTTCGGGTGTTTTAACCGTTCGATCTTGACTTTTGTATTTTTAAACAAAAATCTAACAACTAAAATATTCAGAATATAAAATCCTCCGCAGTACCATAGAAAATCTCTTATTTATTTGCCTGACCAACCAATTGAAGCCCTGTCAAATTACACAAAGGAAAATGCATTTAACCTGCCATTAATAAAGGTTGCCAAAATTGTATGATGCTTAGTGTATTTTTTATTCCAAATTTTTTAACTGTAAAATTACACTCATTGTAATTTTGACTAACAGTTTAACTGAATGCATTTAGGAGTAGAAAATACTTGAAAGTATACTAAAAAAATATCTGAAAATGAACCTAAAATCAAAATAACAGAAAATATAAGTCTTTTTATTTTATTCAGTAACAAGAAACATAAAGTTGTGGTATTCTAAGCAAGAATTCTTAAAATAATTTTGCTAGCGCATTAGGCAGGTATGTAGTGTGTTTGTCACTTTTCATTCAAGTGATTCGAATAAAGACTTCTCACTTATAAAAAGAGATAATACTATTATATCGTGGTGATTGTTGTTAAACTAGTGTAGTTTAGAATATAAGATAGTAGTTTGTTTGGGCAAACTACCTCCAAGTTTGCAATAGCATTTCAAAATGAAAAAAATAAATAAATAAATAGTTTCAACTTTTTCATGCTACACCATAAGGTTTTGAAATCATATCAATTTATCTTCAGAGTGTTTGAACCCATGGTCCTTCATAAAAATGATGATGCAGGTCTAGGACCTGTTTATAAGCCACCGTGTAAATTATATTTGTGCTACATGGACAAACAAAACCTCATACTGGAGCTTTGACTTCTCCTAAATTGATGCTTCGTATCTCAAAACAATAACCATTCGCACAATTTGATCAAAAATGTACCAGCGTATCTTATACACGTTAGTCAAAAAAAAGGCCCACATATGATATGTCATCGATTTAGACGTTCAATAGATAGAAAATATAATTAATACAATTTCAAATTTTCAAATTGCAATGTGATAGAAAGTATAAATTATTAATTATTAGCCTCTTGCTACATGCTCACGCGTGTGACAATTTGCTCTTTCATTTTAACTTCTTTTTTTTTTTTTTTTTCAAATTTACATTTAGTGTGATTCAAAAAAATTCAAAAGAAAAGTTTCAGTAAAACTAGTACCATACATGGAGAAAAATAAAAACGTGGGGATAAGGCAGTTTTACACTACTACAAAAGGGGGCTATAGTGTCGGAGGGTGGTGTCGCTTTAATCTAATATAGTAGCGGATTAGGCAGTTGCGACACTAACTAAACATGACGTCGGATTTACTGTCGCTTATAAGCGTTATTAAATGTTTATGTCGCTTTTAAACCGACGTAAACATATATTTTAATAATTTTTAAATACTAGTGTCGCTTTTAAACCGACGTAAACATTATTTTAATAATTTTTAAATACTAGTGTCGCTTTTAAGCGACATAAAGTGTGTATATATATATATATATATATATATTAAATTATATATATATTAAATTAAATTTTATATCCCTAAAAACTATAATAATTATATATATATATATATTAAATTAAATTTTAAAAAATTGGTGATCATTGGATTGGTTTAAATATACATACGATTCAATTTCTTAAGTGTTATACATACAAAATAAATAAATTTAAATCTACTTAATATATATATACACACACACACACCATTGAACTTGATTGGATACGAATTCTATGAAACTAATTTCGACAGTTATAAACGAAAAATCACGATTTAACGGTTATTTTAACTCCGATTTTGATGATTTTTTACAGCTACACTCCTGACCCTATATGAATACAATGAATGGATTCGATCTTCAAATTAAAATATTTACACAAGTGGATACCACAAAATCTTATGTTATACTTAATGAAAGTATAAATAAACTCTAAGTGTTAGTCAATCTATTGTTTTGATGGGATACAAATTCTCCGAAACTAATTTCAACGATCCCAACCGTCAAACTTGTTTGCATATGCTTCGAGATCACATCAGCAAAAAATCACAAAAAACAAACATTCAGAGATCAAGTAACGGGACAAAGCTTTTCGACGGTTATAAACGAAAAATCACGATTTAACGGTTATTTTAACTCCGATTTTGATGATTTTTTACAGCTACATTCCTTGACCCTATATGAATAGAATGAATGAATTCGATCTTCAATTTAAAATATTTACACAAGTGGATACCACAAAATCTTATGTTATACTTAATGAAAGTATAAATAAACTCTAAGTGTTAGTCAATCTATTGTTTTGATGGGATACGAATTCTCCGAAACTAATTTCAACGATCCCAACCGTCAAACTTGTTTGCATATGCTTCGAGATCACGTCAGCAAAAAATCACAAAAAACAAACATTTAGAGATCAAGTAACGGGACAAAGCTTTTCGACGGTTATAAACGAAAAATCACGATTTAACGGTTATTTTAACTCCGATTTTGATGATTTTTTACAGCTACACTCCTTGACCCTATATGAATACAATGAATGAATTCGATCTTCAAATTAAAATATTTACACAAGTAGATACCACAAAATCTTATGTTATACTTAATGAAAGTATAAATAAACTCTAAGTATTAGTCAATCTATTGTTTTGATGGGATACGAATTCTCCGAAACTAATTTCAACGATCCCAACCGTCAAACTTGTTTGCATATGCTTCAAGATCACATCAGCAAAAAATCACAAAAAACAAACATTCAGAGATCAAGTAACGGGACAAAGCTTTTCGACGGTTATAAACGAAAAATCACGATTTAACGGTTATTTTAACTCCGATTTTGATGATTTTTTACAGCTACATTCCTTGACCCTATATGAATAGAATGAATGAATTCGATCTTCAATTTAAATTAGTTTTTTTAAATATTTTGAAACCCAGTGTCGCTTTTAAGCGACATATTGATTTAAATTAGTTTTTCATTTTATAACCATCGAAAAGTTCCATAGAATTTGTATCCCATCAAGTTCAATGGTGTGTGTGTGTATATATATATATTTATTAAGTAGATTTAAATTTATTTATTTTGTATGTATAACACTTAAAGAAATTGAATGGTATGTATATTGAAACTGATCCAACGGTCACCAATTTTTAAAATTTAATTTAATATATATATATATATATAATTATTATAGTTTTTAGGGGTATAAAATTGTTACATTAATATATATAATTATTATAGTATTTTTTAGGGTTATAAAATTAATATATATAAAATTATAGTATTTGAAATATTAGGCGGGAAATTTCCCGCTTGTTTGAATGGATGGAGAGACTTAGTGTCGGTTTTAACCGACGCTAGTGTCATTAAAGCGACGCTATGTGAATTTCAAAAAGTGTGTCAGAAGTTGGCGTCGGTTAAAAGCGACGCTAGTTTCATTAAAGCGACGCTAGTTTCATTAAAGCGACGCAAGTTTCATTAAAGCGACGCTATGTGAATTTCAAAAAGTGTCAGAAGTTTGTGTCGGTTTAAAGCGACGCTAGTTTCATTAAAGCGACGCGAGTTTCATTAAAGCGACGCTATGTGAATTTCAAAAAAAGTGTCAGACGTTTGCGTCGGTTTTAACGGACGCAAACTAAGTACCCATATTTAAACCCCTCTCTTTCCCATTTCAACCGTGCTTTCATTTCTCCCCCAATTTCAGACTTTCTTCTTCTCCTTCCCCATTTCATCTGTGCGTCCCCTTCTTCCTCCTTTTCATTTTTTCCTCAACTCCTTCCCCGTTTGCTTTGGATCACCAGTTTGAAGATCAACATTCTGAAGAACTCCAATTCGAGGAGGAAGAGCTTGAAGGTGGTTCATTTTTAAATTATTATGATTATTAATTTTAGTTTCTATTTTGTATTCTAAATAGTTTTATGCTTAAATTGAAAATTTATTTTTGTTTCTTGGTTTTTAATTGTTTTTTTTGTATTTATGCATGTTGGATCTGAAGAGCAAGGACACTGGAAATCGCAGATCCATAATTTTTTAAAGGTATAAAACCTGAGTTTAATCTATAGAGATTAGAGCCTTAATGTTGAAGTAGTAAAGTATTGGAGCACTGATCTGATGGCAAGCATGGCAGCATGGAGTTGCTAGTATTACATATGGCACTATGGAGCTACAAAATATGTGGTCTTCGACAAAGGCAAGCACAGGAAAGCATGGAGGATGAATTTTTGTAAATTATATGGAATGTTAGATGTAAAACATTTGTATATTATGGCACTATTTTTCTTTTGAATTATTTTTATTATTGTTTGTTTTGGCCTAAAATTGAAATTTATTATTTCGATTATATAATTTTTTTGAGTTATAATTATTTGAGAACGAATACAGAAACAGATTTCGACTTTTTTTTTAATTATTATTATCAAAGGTGGTGTCGCTTTAAATCGTCACTAGTTTGCATATTTTATTTATTTAATTGTTTTCTAACGTCGCTTTAAACCGTCACTAGTTTGCATATTTTATTTAGTTAATTGTTGACTAGCGTCGCTTTAAACCGACGTTAACATCAGCGTCGCTTTAAACCGACGCTGCGTAGTGGCGGATTAAGCGAACAAAGCGACGCTGAAGCCCTTTAGTGACGGTAGCAATGGCGTCGCTATTCCAATCCGACATTGCAGTGTTTTATGTCGGATTTTTGCCAAATTTCCGACAGAAATCGGGGTTTCTTGTCGGTTTTTGGTCCGCCGGTGATAGCCTATATTGTAGTAGTGTTACTATTTCACCGTCTTAATTAAATTATCGTTTTTAAAGAGTTTGAAGAAGGGAAGAGGATTCTTAGTATATTGAAAGCTTCACCATTTTAGGGCGTTGAACCTTTATAGACATTGGAAACAATATCATTGCTAAACCCATTAGCTTGTTCCTGTAGTTCATATGCTTAAGATGTAACCAAAAAAGAAATACCTAAATTGTAATCTGCAAATATTAGGTCAAGTGAATAAATGATAAATCATGGATTCTAAATTGTAATCTGCAAATATTAGGTCAAGTGAATAAATGATAAATCATGGAAGTGAATGAAGATAACAGAAGAGAACTGCAACTTCACCAACTACCAAGCTAAACAGATCCTAATATCGTCATGAAATTCTTAACATAATATGAAATACAGACGGATTAAGTTCGAGCATTTCATAAACAAAAGTTCATAGTCGAGCAGGTATAAATATATATTGCAGATATGTTTCCTGCAACTCAGGCCATTTTTTGATCTTTTGGTCCAAAACCCAGCTCACTATCCATGTCAATCCCACTGATGTGTTCCTCCATTTTTGCCAAGTCTTTCTTTGCAACAGCAACCACAGCCTTCCGCATCTGCACTTCGCTCTCCATAGCATCTACATCACGCATCCGCCTCTTGATTTCATTCTCCAAAACATCGAAAGTTCGATAATGAAATGAAGAGGCGGATGCGTGATGTAGATGCTCAGGAGAGCGAAGTGCAGATGCGGAAGGCTGTGATTGCTGTTGCAGAGGTAAATCTTCAAGTAATAAAGAGACACTTGGCAAAAATGGAGGAAAATTTCAATGGGATTGACATGGAGAGTGAGCTGGGTTTTGGACCAAAATATCAAAAAGGGACATGAGTTGCAGGAATCAAGAGGCTGAGAGTGAGAGAAGATGTCGAAGTTTTGCAGAATGAAATCAAGAGGCGGATGCCTCTTCATTCGCCCTCCCCTTTGCACGAACCTCTTCATATCAAAGGCCTATTGAACGGTTGGCTCCAGCCACGACAAGTCAAATCTGAAGGCCTCAACCTCCTCCCACAAAAGCTGAAGGCGCTCACATGATTCCTCGGTCATATCCTTGACCTTTGTAGTCTTTAGAAAATGCAGCAGTCGCCCCAAAGCTTTGAATGCACTTTTAGCAAACATCTTTCTACTTTTCAGTTGGCAAATAATCAATGAAGGATGCAATGAACAGACTTCCTCTAGAAGTGGTACAAAAGCTTTATCTATATGTCAAAAACCCTTAAAATCCATACGCTCGCCTAATGGGGCAGTGGGGATTTCCTTAATTAACTCGACTGGAGAAGGATCAGCTGGGCAATCAACGGTAGGCTTAACAATACATGAACCTGGTGTATCTGGAGCTTGCTCAGAATTCACATCTGTAAGCTCCCACCCAATAGGTTCTTTCTAAATTTGAATTAATTTCTCTTCAATGTGCATGGATAGTTGGGGTCACATATGAATTTGGGGTTAGCTGGTCATATAGACGTAAAAGTGGGAACCTCACCTTAAAAGATACAAAAATATTTTACTCCAAAATGTGCAAGTTGGATTGAAATTTTTGATTCCACCATTCAAATTTCTGTTCCTAATACTTATAGCTAGATTGGATGGAAATGAAAATGGGAATGCATTTAAAATTTCCAAATATTTTAAATTTTCTAAAATGTTCCAAATTTTGAATTTTATTGTTTGGTTAACTAAAAGAAAAATAAAATTTGAGTATGGAATTTGTTATTTTCAAACTCTCACTCATAAAAATTTGGAAATAACATCTATTTATATGGAATTTAAATTTGGGAATTGAAAGTTTCAAATTCCATGTTCTTTTTTCCACGCGAAAATTCTATATTTCTGTGTTTATGAATCCAAACAAGAGAATTTCTGCGCATCAATTTATATAAATTCTGACTTTTGTTAAAATTCCAAATTATTTTCCTCATCCAAACACATTGTAAGGGTTTAAACACCAAAGAGTATCCCATATTCTGGAACACCCTAAATATTTTGTAAGTTCACTCTCTAAGGGCATGTTTGGTGTATTACTTGCATCAAATTTTTTTTTTTAAATGATGAATGAATCTAAATTACTTAATACTAATTTAGTTTCAAAACCAAAAAAATTGGATTCAAAAAAGATACCAAAAGATCCGTAAATCTCTTGAAATACTTCAACACAGATCCTAATCATTAAATTAAACAATGTATGTCATGCATTATTGTAATCTAGAATTTTAGAGTAGGATAATCACCCCTACTAAAGTTGAGGCCACAAAGTTATTTTCCCCCTCATTGATAGAAAGAAAAACTAGAGCCCGACTGCAAAACACCACTCTTTAGTAGGAATTGCAATATCAAACAACTTTGTGGAGTTATTTCTACATTATGGGCCTTGATTTTCCTTCAATTTGTTCAACTGAATTGCTAAAATAAGACGAGTCTGTAGGAGGAAAAAATGTTGTGCAAAAATTAATAGGAAAACTAATGAAAATAACTTGAAAACTTTGAGTTTTAATGATAAAGACAAAATAAAGGGTAAAGTGAATAATACCAGGATTGACTTTTTAGTGTAAAAATATGGTTTTTCATTAAAGTAAACAATATCGTGGGCTTTTCATTAAAACTCCCAAAATTAATGCCCACAACTTAAAAATAAAGCTAAAGCAAAATTTTATTTAAATTTCAAGATTCCGAGTCGAGCAAGTAAGGTAAGATCTAAACCCACAGTTAAAGATATCATACAACAAGGCTAACCAGTCGCATAACCTAGCTCACCATCCATGTCTATCCCATTGAATTCTTGTTCCGCCTTACCCAAGTTTTTTTTTGGTACCGCAAGATCAACCTTTGTAACAACTACTGCTGCCCTCCGCCTTTTAAGTTCATCCTCCAAAACGTCTACGTCTTCTCTCAGCCTTTTCAGTCTCCCCGCTCTTTGTAGAAACTTGTTCATACCAAATGCGGTACGAACATGCAGCTCAAGCCATGCTAAGTCAAATCTAAGGGCCTCGACCTCTTCCCAGAATAGTTGAAGGTGGTCAGAAGCATCCCTAATCATATCTTTAACCTTTGTCGTCTTAAAAATGCAGCACAAGTCCCAAAGATCGGAGTTCTTTTGAGCATACAGTCAATCAAGGAAGGATTCAATGAGCAGACTTCTTCTAGCCATGGAACAAAAGCTCTCTCTATTCGTCGTAAACCCCTAAAATCCATAAGGTCGCCCATTGGGGTGGTGGGGACTTCCCTAAGGAAGGGTTAGAAGGGCTGTCATCAGTAGCCTCAGTGCAATCTTGTTGAAAACCTGGTGCGTTTTGGAGTTCAGAATTCCCCTGTGATTCCTGCCCCTTAAGTTCTTTCTTTGATGACTCCATAGTTGCAGAAATATTAGTTTCTTGGCCGCCAATTTTAACTGGGACATTGATCTTGGCTTGAACAATGCAAATATCATTTACTAGAAAACCTGCACCGGAGTTATAGAGCTTCCGAAGAGGCATGAATGATTTGAAGCCAAACTTACTCTTGTTTTCTTTGAACTCTTTTAGATTGCCTGTGAAGAAAACATCAAGGATCACAAGTGAAGACAATAATTGGTGGTCAAATAAGTTGCTAACTGTTTTAGAACTTCCAGACTGCAATAGTTTTCAGTAGCATATCACAAAGTGCCTTCAATCAGCAAATAGAAGCCCATGAAGGAAATGCTAATCTAATGGAAGAATCTAAGAATTTAGCTGTGACATTTTCTTGTATTCGGGTATGTAGAAGAAATGAAAGATAAGGAAAACAGGAAATAATGTAATTTCCCTTGAGAATCTAAGAATTTTGCTTAATATTTTCCTTGAAAGGTAGAATGAATTAAGAACAAAAATGAAAGGACAACAGTTAAGAACACAAACATAAATGCGAAATAAAAAATAAATAAAAAAACAGTAAAGAAAGTACCGTTTGTAGACTTGGTTATTGACATGGTGCTGTCATGTTGATTAACCAGAGTCAAGCAAAAATTTGCACATCTAGTCCATCCGGGTGGCAATGTTGAAGTATCTTCAACACTCAAATACATAGATAACTGGTCGTCGAGTTCAGGATTTGCATCGCATATCCACGTTGGACGTATAAGGATCCTCCTGATCAAACAAACCAAGGCTGGTAAAAGAAATTAAAAACATATATGATAAGGCAGAATGTTAAAATCATGGGATATCCTTGGCTTTGTGTGCTACTAAGTTGATAGGTTTCATTAGCTTTTGGGTCTTGAAGCTTGAAGATGGTTCAGATTTTAATTTTACTCTAAAATTAGATTAAAATTAGAAATTGGTCCCTGATTTTTAATACTAGTTTAGATTTGGTTCTTGAACAAAAATTCCGTTATTTAAGGTTCTTGGACTTAACAAAACATGTAATGTTGGTCTTCAAAGAGATTTTCCGTCTATTTGATTACGCGGTTTAGATTTGGTCCTTAAACTTTCACCCTAATTTAAACTAACATAAAATTTTACTGAAGTTAGCGGAAGGGATCAATCATTCATGTTTTGTTATATTTTTAGAGACCTCAATTAACATATTTTTAGCTCATCGACCATATCTCAACTAGGGTAAAAGACTGAAAGTTCATGGACCAACTATAAACTTTACTCTTAACTTTAATCTGCACCCCTTTTTTGAATAAAATTTGGAGATTTGTTGCTCAATCAGCCCGTTTCAACTGTCAAGGCTCCCAGTGTAAGAAATCTATGGTCGAATGAATAAAAAATCTACTATTAATTATATGTTTTGGTGATGATGAAAACCAGTAAATTCATAAAATAATAAAAATAAAAATAACATTTTACCACTTGAACCCCATCATTAATTTGGTATTCCAAAAATGGGAAAGAAATGCATAAACCATTTCCTTATTGGTACCCAAGAAAATGAAAGTTTCAAGATGCCATGACTTCAATGGCCTCACAATAATAAACTGTTCACAAAAAGAAAATGGCCTCATAAATAAATTAAAAAAATTAAACAAAAGAAATCATCTTGGAGCAAAATCTGCAGTCAGTTTGCATAATAATTAAGCAATATATATAGGGTTAATTTATAGGAGATGGTGAGAAGAAATAGGTACCATTTTATATCACCGGCGATGAAAACGTCAGAGGAATGCTCGTCGCTTTTGAGCTTGGACAAATTGGGAATTTTTCATGTATAGGTATCACATACAACATCTCCTTCCTCATTTCTCATTCTACCAACAAGAAAACAAACCCATATAAATCATACCAAACCAACCACAAATATCAGTCACACCAAACGAACCACAGATTGTTAGAGAGACGTACCTTCCCATCCACGGTTCCCTTACCTTCTCGGCTCTGATCAGGAGAGAGAGAAGAGAGACAGAGACAGAGTGAGTGATTAAAAGAGGGAGGGGAGTACTACCAATCAGTTGGGGAAGTACAAAGTCTTCAGGGTGCAGACAACTAAAACCTCAATTATTTATTCAATAATCATAGGAGGCTAAGAAGTGTGCACTTCGTGTGTTTTAACCGTTCGATCTTGACTTTTATATATATATATATATATATATATATATATAGGGTTAATTTATGGGAGATGGTTAGAAGAAATAGGTACCATTTGATATCACTGGCTATGAAAACTTCAGAGGAATGCTTGTCGCTTTTGAGCTTGGACAAGTTGGGAATTTTCCATGTATAGGTGTCACATACAACATCTCCTTCTTCCTCATTTCTCATTCTGAGATATGGTTTGGGGTTGAGGTGATTGTAAAAAAAAATTGTTATCAAAAAAAGCTGGGGGTCATTTTTGTGTTTGGTAAACTTCCAGCTTCAACTTTTTTTCATAATTTTGAGTGAAAAAAAGCCAAAAAACAGAAGCAGCAAAATGCAGCTTTGAAAAGCTCGCTTTTCAGCTTCTGCGCAAACCTCTAAAATACAGGTGAACAGTGACCCTTTAATGAAAGTTTCTGGCAATCCTACCCTGAGCTCTCTCTTCTGCCTCCACACTCCTCCGTCAAACCCACCATTCTCCCACACCTCTCCGCACCCCCTCCGCTTCTCCTGCCCCTTCAAACCCACAAAACCCCCCAAACCACCTTCTCTATTCGCCTCAACACCGCAGCCTGCCAGAGACAGAGTCATCGATTTCGGAAAATACAAGGGCAAGATGCTGGGCACCCTCCCTTCAACCTACCTCAAGTGGGTCTCCAAAAATCTCTGGGCTCGCAACTTCGAGCATTGGGCGAAGCTCGCCGACCAAGTTCTTGACGATGTCGTTTACTAGGACCGAATTGAGTGAGAGCTGGCGGAGAATGTGCTGAACGGAAATCGGAGGAAAACAGACCCAACCTCTGACGTCGTTTCGTCCACTGAGCTATGGCGGCTCCAAACCCATCAAGAACCCTAATTTCCCAAAACCCATTTCTCCATTTCACCAGTACATTCACTCAGCTTAAGCTCAGGAGGTTGATTCCGAGGATTCGGAGCAAGAAGAAGAGAGAGTGCAGAGAGAAAGAGAGAGAGCTGAGGTGAGATGGTCTGAGATCGAAGGTTTGTGTGTGGGGTTGTCTCGGTGGAGGAGAGAGTGCACAGAGAGAGAGCTGAGGGTTTTCAAGAAAGTTCGAGAGTGTAAAGGGAAAAGAAGATGCATGGATAAGGAAAATAGGGTGTGGGCCCCACGGCCACACAAAATCCTCACATAAAAATAATAATATTAAATAAAATATTATAATAATAATATAGTATTATGCCATTTTTGGTCATTTCATACAGTTACAGCTGTTTTACATAAAAGTTTACCAAACACTATCATACTGCTTTTTTTCCAAAAGCACTTTTACAAAAAAGTTTGTCAAACACTCTGCTGTTTTATTTCACAGCTGCTTATTCTCACAGCACAGCAAAAACAGTTTTTTTTCAAAGCACATCAATACCAAACCAGTCCTGAGAGGGATGAAGGATTTGAAGCCCCACCCCTTGTTTTCTGTGAACTCTTTTACAGATCCTGTTATCGAGGAAACAAAAGCAAATAATCCAGAATGCAGACCAAGTAATTAATTAAAGGTGAAGTACATTTCGAGGTTACAATAGAAGTCGATTATCGACATAGAGGAATTCAATCAATGATTAATGCTATCAGCAATAATAGCCACATATATATATTCACACACACAAACACAGAAACCCTTCGGAGAAAAACCAAATCACATATTCAAACATATTAACTAATAAACCAAATATTATAACTGGATTTATTCTCCAACAGTTCCCAAGGAGTATAAATGATAATAATGCCCGGCTCAGTCGTTCTTTGTATCTGTACGATGCCATGTCTGAGCCAGCAGGAAAGGAAAAATATGTTGTGCTTGCATGATTAGCATGGCATACTATCACCCCTGTTTTATTCGTGTTCGGGCCATGCCATGCAAGTGTTGAACAGGCATTTAAAAAAACAAGGACGAAAGGAAAATCATGAACACAATTGAATTTTAATTGTATCGTTTTGAATTACTCATCAATCATCATGCATGGCTTCTAGAGCCTTGAGTATGGTTTCAAAACCTTCAATACTATAAATAATCCCCTCTTGAATTTATAGGGGATTAATTTGTCATAAATTTGGAGCCAAAAAACATCAACTGAAAATTATTAAGTCCTGCTACATCAACTTATAGCATTACAACAAGCCCTAACGACATGAAGAAATATGTCGTCAAAATGCAAATTAGGCGTATATCACATGAACGTCTCTCCAAAAAGGGAAGGGATGAGTAAAAAAAAATGCGTATATGGTTCACCACTCCATGAGGGATGAAAGTCAGAAAATCAATCCAAATCCCTGGTTTTAATCTTTCCATCCAAGGGTGTCCCAATTTGTTCTGAAAATGTTATACAAACATGAATGTGGATGAAAGGAGATGCACTCGAGATTAGAACAATACCGGTTGCAGGCCTTGTGATTCACTTGTTGGTGTCAAGTCGATTGACCAGGGTCAAGCTAAAGCTGGAATATCTACTCCATCCAGGTGCCAAGCTTGAAGCACCTGCGATGCCCAAATATTGTGCCAACTGGACTAGGCCATTACGATCTTGGTCGGATAACCACTTTGGACGTACAACAAGGATCCTCCTGTTCAATCCAAACCAAACCAAAGCTAGTAAAGAACTGAAAATATCACTGACCCTTGCACCTGAGTTTCGAGTTCGACTGACTCCCAAAATTTGCTTATAATTTGAGGGGCAAAAACTACAGACACATACATGATATGGCACAATGTAATAATCTTGGGCCAAGTTTGGCCTTATGGGCTGTGCTAGGTTAGATTACCTGGTTCCTATTTCCCTTTTCTTTTAGTTAGTTTGTTATTTTTATATTGTTTGTTTGTTTGTTTTTTTTTTTTTTTTTTGTCAAACAATAAATTTTGTTAGATTTGCCACCAAAGGAGTTCGAATCCACGCCATCATGCAAGGACTTTACTCCTTTCCACCACTATGGTAAGGGACCATCATTTGGCAACATTTGTTTGTGTTTGATTGATTCATAATTGTTTTCGAACACAGATTCTTGCTCCCCGCTTCTACCATTTTGATCTCAACTGACGACCATAACAATTTGATATCGTGCCCAAAAGTTTACTTGTTAACATAGTTGACGTTGTGATATGTTGTGTCCGAAAGCTTGTTTGGTATCCTACTAAAAAATTTCATCATTGCTAAAAAAATTAAAGAACAAGCTTCTTGAGTTCTTCATAAGGGTAATGCTAAGGAGACCAAAATTTTAAACCAAATTTGTAAACGAAATGATATGTCACCAATAGAAAATATACATGAACATTAATCAACACTTAAGTAATAATCCAATCATCAACAACCACATCATTTGATTTACAAATTTAGTTTTTAAAATAATCCTACCAAACAAAGATCATTAACTCAGGACTCAAAAATTATTTTTGAGTTAAAAAATTAAACAAAAACTGAATACCAAACAATTCCTAAATTAATTTGAGTTGCGCCAACCACTACTTTTGTTTGTGTAACAAGCATAATTGTTTCATGGTTTACTAGTAATTACCCACATATTGTGCATGTGTTGAGCAGTTGAGCTTGTTAGTGAGTTTTATTCTCTATGGGTTTGTTGGATCCTTAGCACGAGGCAGGGAAAGGCTTGTTCAGGTGGGCATAAATTGGTTTCCAGCATTTTTTGTGATATTGGGAGCAACTGCTCTCATGTCCCCTCTTGTCTCTATGCGGACTCATTTTCTCCTTACGAACACTCTACTTATTTCTGTCTTTTGATTCTATTGGTTTATTCAGTCAAAAAGTCAGAGGTAAAAATGAATGTGCAGGAAAATCCAAGAAAAAAAATTACCTACCTCAAGAAATAGAGAGAAAGATACGTCATAACATTTCATATAGGTTATTACCTTAAAATTTTAAATAGTTGTTCGCTAAAAGTTATGTATTTCCATTTATCATCGTTCTAAAAAGCAGCCTTTTTTGGTGGGGGGGGGGAATCGGCAAAGCTTTTAGATGGCAATTAGGTGGCTGCCGAGATGGTGTCTAGGCGGCCCTAGGTAGTTTAGCTTTTTATTTTTACTTTTTTGGTTGAAGGTTCGAAGATAATTTATGCACCAACAAATTAATATAGAATGCTGTGTGTGTGTGTATATATAATATGTATATATATTTTTTAACAAACAATATTATATATACTAAAGGATTAAGTCTTACATTGAGCCAGCAATAATATGGTTCAAATTCATCTTTAACCAGAATCGAATCTAAAATCTCTTATTTATAAATAAAAATGAATATCACCTGAATAGAATATTAAGTGGCATAATATATTCACTTTTGGTATTGAAGATAAGAATGTTACATATATATATATATATATATGTAAGGCACACCCATTAAAAAAAGGGGTTTTTTGAAATGGATCCAAAGTAACTAAAAATTGGACCTATTTCAAAAGTCAAAAGTCACTAAAAATTGAACCTATTTCAAAAAATAATCTATAAAATTAGATCTATTTCAAATTTTCCTTTAAAAAAACCTGTTCAGTGACGCTTCCTCCACTTTACTTCTGCAAGGTGTATACAGTGTGGAGTGTGCAGTCTTCCCCAGCCCAGGCATCTCTGACTCTAAAGATTTCTAATTCCATATATCCGGTGCAGAGTGCAGACCCACCACTATAGAGGACAGACTGTCACTAAGAGCAACTCCAGCGTTGAAGCCCTCCCCCCTGGCAATACACTATTCAATCCACCTAATGAACAGTAATTGCCCTTAATGAACAGTAAGTAGCCCTGGCAATAGATTTTGCATCTCCACCGTTACACTTCTATAGCCCTGGCAATAGGCAATAAAATATTAGTATTTTTTTTATTTATAAAATTAATACAAAATAATTTTAAATGTAATATCGGATAAGATTTTTAATCGTTGTCGGTGCGCCACGTGTCATTATCCTAAGTATTATTAAATAATACAAAATAAATAATTATAATATGGATTTCTGATAAGATTATTAACCAATCACGTCGCGCCACGTGTCATAATCGGTTCACAATCTTTGAGGATAGATTTCTATCAGATTTTAAACAAATGACGGCATGCCACGTGTCATAATCTGTTAACAATCTTGGATGATAGATTTCCATCATATTTTTAACGAATGACGGCATGCCACGTGGCATTATGCAGAACCTAATCCTTTCTGAATCCTCTATATAATCCACCATCCATCTTCACAAATCTCACACCAAAATTCTCAAGATCTCTATCATTATTCATAATTTCTGCTTCCTTATTCACAAAAATCAGTTTCAATATTCATGGTTTCTGTTTCTTTCTTTCAATGTCTTCTTCTTCTTCCTCAAGGATGATGTGGGAATTGAATCAGGAAGAGGAAGACTTGTTTAACCAATCAGAATCAATGTTCAATCACCAGGGGGTAAGAAATGAGAGGGAAGAAGATGAGGAGCGTCAAATGAGAGATGACGATGTAAGAAGGGGCAGAGCCTCACATTCCCGTCGAGTCATCCAAGCTGCGGCTCAGATCTGCAGGCCCAGGCATTCCGGAAACCTTGATAGAAGCAGGCAACGACGAGGTATGGAACTCTTGGATGATTATTTTGTTCCTAATAGTGCATTCCCTGATACGTACTTTAGACGTCGTTTTAGAATGGAACGACATTTGTTCAACAAAATCATGATTGCTGTTTGCAACCATGATTCTTATTTTGTGCAAAAAAAAGATGCTTTTGGTGCCATGGGTCTACTGCCGGAGCAAAAAATTACTGCTGCCTTGCGGATGCTTGCATATGGAGCATCTGCAGACCAAGTGGATGAGATAACGAGGATGGGGTAATCAACCATTATTGAGTCCCTGATGAGGTTTTGCGGAGCAATCGAATCTATCTACACCGCTGAGTACCTCCGCAAACCCACACACATGGACTTGGAGCGGCTGTTGAAGAAGGCGGAGATGCGTGGCTTTCCTGGGATGATTGGAAGCATTGATTGTATGCACTGGACGTGGAAAAACTGTCCAAGTGCATGGCAAGGCGCTTACGGGGACAGAAAAGGGGCAAAAAGTATCATTCTGGAGGCGGTGGCATCTTTTGATACATGGATTTGGCACGCCTTTTTCGGGGTCCCGGGAGCTCAAAATGACATCAATGTCCTTGCCCAATCCCCAGTGTTCAACGATGTCCTGCAAGGAAAGGCACCAAAAGTTACATATGAGGTCAACGGACGTATGTACGACGGGCCATACTACCTAGCTGACGGCATCTA